ACATTATGGCTACATTTTTCCAGATGAATTCGTGCGGCTGTGTTTCGTTGTTGACTGTCAATCTTATGGCACAACGTCCAATCGGATTAACGTATTTGCCGTCTTTCATTTGTGCCACTGATGCAGGTTTTACTCCCTTTGCGACCATACCATTGAAGAAGGGCGCTTCTTCTAGCTTTCCACTGAAAGCCTAGATGGGTAGCGACTAGAACTTCTGTATTTCTACGCCTATATGGGGAAGGTTATCGTCATCGTTTTTCAAATTGTGGCGATGAATTCCTTAGTTGACTACTGGAACTAAAACTTTCGTCTGAAATGATTATCTCTCTTTGTCGTGGGTTATAGCCTTGAAATGTGTCTTTCTCGGCATTGTGTTATCCTTTGTTCTCCAGATATCAATTTTGCGACGGGGTAATTAACGACGGAGCGGTTCATAAGTTTTCCGAGAAGAAGCAACTGTAGTTCCAGATGGTTGACGGCGTAGTGCTTCGAAGTTTTTTTTTTCCAAATGGCAGGCACTGAACTGTATTCTTCGCTTAAGAAGATGCCGGAATTGTTACTCATTTTACGTTACCCAGTGGGCAGCTGTGAACCAAAGTCACGGAGGAGAGCAACATTACCCACGCCACACTGCCACAAACCCATTCATAGGGTGGGCCACATTCACACATCACACACAACAGAGGACAACACAACAGAGAAACATCCATGCCCAGAGCGGGATTCGAACCCGCAGCCATTGGCTCCGCAGTCAGGCGCGCTAACCGCTCGGCCACCTGGCCGGCTGTGCTTCTAAGTATGAAACAGGTATCGTTGATATAAAACTATCGAAATCTTTGTTTCTGTTGAAGTTTGTTTCGGTCATGGGTGCTAAGGTCTTCACAACTTCATATCGCATAACTTCTAAACTGCCAATTGTTGGTTCAGGAGTTGGAACAGTAACAGGAAATAGCCAGGCGATTTCTTTTTCTACCACTTGGCGTATCGTTGACAATAGGTCAAAATTGTCTTCAAGGGAAGCAACGGGTACGGCATTTGGCAGTCTTTCAAACTTTCATTCGATTAACACGTCGCTGCTGCCACGAGTCGACATGTTGAGACAGCATTTAATGAAAGCGGCAGTCGTTGTCACTTCTTTTGTGAGTAGAACTTGATAAATATTTTCCGCGATGTCATTCATAAGATGAGAAACCTTGTCTGCTTCACTCATGCTAGGGTTTGACGCGATGGCATAATCATAGTACTGCTTATATACAGTGCGTAGCCAAATTATTCAACAAAAAATAATCACCTTTTAAGCACTTTTCAAGCACTCAAAAATATTTTTAAGCACTTTAAAAAAATATCATGGGCAGGGTTGGAAAGTTTTTGACAATTGACGGTTTTATCTTGTTTTAACCGTCATGTCAACAAAATAATAATAATAATAAAAACTTTGGCATTGTTTTTGACAATTGTCAAAAATCATGAAATTTTGAATCATGTAAAACGAATGACGCTACGGACTGACAATATAGCCGAAATAGATTGGGGTTGAATTAATTGCGAAAACGTTGAATAAACCAATGCAAACTGTGTCTCTTTGCATAATTCGAAGCGAAAATCGACATAGTAAAGGAAAAATCTCCTTTTGAAAAAGGGAAAATTAAGCACTTTTTAAAAACACTACGCCCCCTGTTATATGTATGAAAGGCTGGTTTCTCCCTGTTGTTGAGCTCGGGTCTTAAATTCTTCTTCAGCATGGCGTACTGCTGGAAGATGTCAGAAAATGTTTCTTTTAATTCACTTCTGAAAGCTGTCCAAGATGTTAATATTGATGGCCAAGATGTTAATGTTTCAAATCAAAGCTTGGCTGTTCTGCTAAGAAAAAAGTAAGCATTTGCAAGGCATGTCCCATCGTCCCATTTGTTATATTTGGCGACACGATCATATTCTTTTAACCAAGCTCCATGATCTTGGTTGGATTCTCCCGAAAAAGAAGATGGATAACGAATGTGCTGGACAATTGAAGTAGTGACAGGTGTTTCAGACATTTTTGACTATCCTGGCTCAAATCCTCTTAAGCGGCGACTCCTTCCTAAATCACCGGCCACATCTGCTTGTGTACCTGGCGGCTCCACCAAATGTCGCGTAGAAAGAATCGAGATGATTAATTACACTGATTTATTGAGCACATCTGATATATTTCTCATACTCATCAATGAAGTTTGAAGTTTATAGAGGTTTGAGGAACCAACAATAAATTAGGAACGGAAAATAATATATTTGAATACACAATAACAAAAAATGTAGCAATTAATTTGTATATTGTAACAATTATTTTGGTTACTATATGCGACGATAGCACAAAATTTCGTAAACCTAGATTAAATATGTATAAAAATATAGACATTTATTTACATATATATATACATATATATATATATTGTCTAATGTTTTTTTGCAATAACTTTAAAATTATTCAATAAAACTAGGAGGCTTCGCCCCCTGCTCGCTGGAGCTCGCCAACCCCCGGAACTGCTTTCGCAGTTCATTTCGGATTGCTTCGCAATCCAATGCTCGCTTTGCTCGCTCATTGGATACGTTCTTAACGTCTATCTTTTGTATACTTTTTTGAATACTGAAGTTCCGAAAACTTTTCACTGTAGAAANTACTCGTTTTTTTGGGAATTAATAGAAATATTTTCATGATGCTTAGAAAGTACATATTTTAGATATTAAATTTTAATATGTCTTTAAGAACTGAATAGCTTTGTTGCCAGTTTCATTGTATTTTTTTTAAAAGGAAGAAAATGCGCAATTTTTGAAAGAAGATTTTTTTTATTTATTTAACCATTTATTGATGTTGACAGTGAAAATTAATATGAGAAAAAAATTGAAATTTAAAATGAAATATTATTTTTTTAGTATTGGAGTATAAAGTTTAATTTTTTTTTTAAAAAATGAAAATACATTAATATTTTTAAGCTTAAATTACAGTAAATATCCGGCAAAAGAACAGTGAGCAAATTTGTCTCGAACTCATTTATAAAACATTTGTTGAAATATGTGCCGTGGTTATGGAGTACCGCAAAAGTAAAGTTTTTAAAACCATTACAGTAGATTCAATGGAAAGAGAATTCAATCGAAAAATAATTACTTAAAAAACACAAATATTACAAACATTGCTTTCTCTTAATGCAAATTGTAATACTCAAACCAAGCATCAGAGGTCAGTACATTGATCATTTAATTTTATTATGAATATATGAAGAATTATAAAATCACAAATTTTTGCGAAAATAAATACAATATAAAATAAATATGCCCACACTATATATAAAACGCGCTCTTATAATCCTGTAATTGTAGCAAAAAATAGTAGTTTCTTCGAAAAAGCAACTAGATAACAATCCCAAGATTTGACAAAAACTTTATTTTATTATAATTATGTATGAAAACTCCCTATTCTTTTTTGTATGTTTCCCTCTTTTTTGAGGAAAATAGGGTGATTAGAGGGAGAGAATTAAAACTTTTCTAAATGGGAAAGTGAGAGATTGCTACCGATGTATTTTTTCAAACTTAATCGAATTAAACCACTTACGAGACGATTGAACCTATAGTTTAAAAGTTTAAAGGTCTTATCTACACAAAATACAAACTTGTACTTGAACATAGATACCCATCTAGTATTACTATCCAAACAAGTGATACATCATTTCCTATAGTTCCTTCACATAGACTGAATGAGATAAAAGTTAAGTACTTTGTTAGTTTATACATATACAGGGTGTCCCAAAAGGTCGTTTACAAACTAAACATGCTGGTCTGTCATATCATGATGAACAAGATTTACATAGGAACTTGTGTCCGAATATTAAAGCTGTGACCGCTAGCGCGATAATTGCACGAAAACGGGAGAGTGGGAAAAACAATCATTTCAGTCGTGGACGTTGAAGGAGAAGGATGAATGAGTTTAGTAACGCAGAAATGGCCGACATGCATTACGTATACGGCGCCGCTGATGGAAATGGACGAGCCGCGGCACGGACGTACCTTGAGCGCTTCCCAAACAGACGTCAGCCAAGTCATGTTTTGTTTGGACGATTGCACCGCAGATTATGTGAATCAGGTGCTTTCGTAGCACGTTGCCACATCGGTCGAGAACGTGCTACACGCACACCTGTCGTAGAGGAAACCGT